TATTGCGGATTTCTGCCTATTTTAGGGCTTGTATTTGTTCTTGCGGGTTCGCGTCGAGTGTATCGTTCGACGTCTCTTGCTTTTAGAGGGATGTGAACCATCGTTGCTCGCCTTTTTGATCCTGCAGCAAGCATGCAGTGCATTTAGGAGTCGGTTGCATCCATTATGGCAGGTACCGCACACCCTCGCCCACAGGTGCAAGTTGCAGTTGTGCATTCTCAGTTGCCCTGGAGGCCTAGAACGTGGCCTGAAGGAACAATGCTGCAGTGCTGTATTCTTGTTGCCCTCGTGTAGCCTACATGCTACTGGTACTTCAGTGTAGGTGATTTCCTTTCATTTTTGAAGGCTGTCAGACTAATGTTTTTCGATGGCAAACATTTGGGCAAGTGCATCCGCAGAGACACAAAAGTTTCTGCAGCCTCCCTGGAATCTGTTTCTTTGTCTTCAATGCCCAGTATGGTACGGAGGAACCCCCAAAGCAGGTAGAGCTGCTAATAGAATATCTGGATTACAGAACTGCATATTTTCAGGTACAACTCTCCCGGCGTCGAACGTGACAGCCGCAACTAAGACCAAATACAACTTTCGACCTGACCTGATAGGGCTTACAAAATACTTGAATACTTTGGGTATTGTGCTAGCTGTACACGCATTGCAAGCATATGCCTTTACAAGCATGTGTTTGCGTTTTGCGTGGCGAAGAATGCAGGCATATTTACACACAGCCACCTACCTGCACCTAGCAGTACACATACACACACACACGCACACACACACACACACACACACACACACACACACACACACACACACACACACACACACCCACACACACACACACACACACACACACACACACACACACACACACACACACACGAACCAGCAAATACACAACTCATGCGAAAGTAGACGTCTGCTGGCACATCCTCATTAGCATTCCCACGTGTTCGCCTTGGCCCGCACATAAGCACGCCTATGCACATATGTGCTTGAATATGTCGGCGCATGCGAATACACACAACTGCATAGATGTATGCGTACGTCGGCACGTGCATATCTTGGATTTGCCTGAGAATGCGCATTCTTATATCTTGGTGCTGGTGTAGAAACATATACAGGCCGGAACGCGCAGTAACGCACATATTTCTAGTATGTATGCGCGCACACACGCGTAGGAACAACTGTAGATACACTTGCAATTATCCATGCACATCTGCATTCTTGTGTTCGCGTCCACGCGCGTGTACGCATGCATACAAGGATTTTTAATTATACATCTCCAAGCAGATATTCGCAGATGCACAGATACGGATATAAAGGTGTATGCATCTTGAACCAAATAAAAGCCCGCACCCACATCCGCACGCGTCCTGGAACCTGAGTGCTGTTGGGTCGTGGAGTAGTTCTCTTGAGAGTGGCCAGACGCCTTCAGGTGATTGCAGTTCACTCGTTGGAACTTCTATGATGAAATCACCTGGGAATGCTACGGATTATGCCTGAGTGCTTATGCCCGTTGCAGCCAAAGCTGTGTTAGACTTCATCACCAAAAACTAGTGAAAGGAAATGCACACGAGGATTACCTGGGGTGGAAAAAGGAGATGACGATGAAATCAAGTCACAGGGACTAAAGTAGCAACCAAGGAAGGTGGCATTAGCATGAGCTGGATCTACTGAATCGTCGCGGAAGGTGTTGCCTAGTTGCCGGCTGCACGGCTAAGGGCGGTAGCCCCTGGTATCATCGGTTCATGAAGGATACTGTGGTATGTCTACAGTCTGCTCCTTGAAGATTCAACATTTGCACTAACAGCAGTCAAACAGAAGCGTTATTTGTTATTTTGTCTTGTGCCCGGCGCTACACGCGCCCAACGCGGAGGAGAAGAGCCGCTATTTCCTATGGAGTTGCGGACTGAGCTTCATTGTCCTGGCACGATAAATAAAACAACTTTTCTGCAGGCGCTGCCTAACTGGGGCTAAGCTCGGGTTTCAGAAGGATGAGCATCCTCGGCCTGCGTGGCTACTCCGTATGGCCCGAAGCTTTTGAGCAGGTTAATCACGAGGCGTTTGATTCCTGCAATTGTTTTTAAACTTCATGCCGACCCAACAGGGGTGCAGTTTCCAACTTATTCCCTAAACGTATCACAAACGTTGCCTGGTTGGAAGTTATTAACACGACGGAACGCTTCAGCTGATCTGTTCTTTGAGCCCTGATAAGCCTCATCCTAACCAACTTATGCTGATTTCACCTTGCCATCACAAGAAATATCCTTTTTCCAAGTTGGTGAAGCAGGAAACGCACAGTTTAACCTTCTGCGGAAGTTCAAAAAAATAGTCTAATTGCTCTACTCGATTTGCCTTAAGCCCAACTCCCGTCTATTCTGCTGGTGATCTTGTCGAGTCTGCACCCCGATACTAGAACCGCAACCAGCTCCTGGCGGAATTCAAGTTCAAATCTTCTTGCAAATACAATGGCTCACTGTCAAATATGTAAGTTTGTCCTTTTCACTGCTTGATATTCTCGTTTTTTTCGGTTTGGCGCAATTCGTTTCCTTCCCTCAGGGGGGAGGCGTTGTGCCTTCGGGCATGGCTTTCTTCCTGCATGGGAATACGTCATTAGTAAAGTATGAGTGTTTATTTTTTCCACGCAGCTTTGTAATTTTCGCTGATTAGGTGACAGCCCAACTGCCAGGTACCTGCCGTTCGACCTCCTGGTCGTGATTTTCCGCCGGTAGTTCCGCTGGTTCCCACATCGCTCAGCCCTGCGCCTGCGGGTGTTTACATTCCTTAGGAAAGAAAAAATATAGATATATATATCGCACAGCTCAAACGTACCACGTAGGGCAATATGGCATTTTGTCTGCTGTGGGGTCCTCAGTAAGCGCAGGGCAGCGTGAGTGGAGTCAAGAGAAAGCTGCTGCTGCTTGCAGACAGTCCAGACGACTCCAAGATGAATTTGTAGCAAGCTTGGACTCCCTTTTTTGATGAGGTTCAAAGGCTTGTACTTGAGTGCATGCATGTGGGGGGGTGTGCATCCATCTCAGCTGTGAACCTAGCTCCAGTGCGTGGGTTGGCAATAAACAGGCGGCCATACAAATAAGACAGCTGATAATGCCCATAGGCTAAGGCAGCCCTAAGTGGGAGAGCCTGCAGGGTCCATAGGCCGCCAATGGCGCCCGCGCACGGCTGGAGAATTCAGAAGGAGATATTTTGGTGGCCTAGCTTCCTAGGGTGCATGACTCTGTTTGCTGCAGCAACAACAGCAGAAGAAACAAAAGTATATGATGCTCCAAATGTGCCTTCAAGTCACGCAGCTGCCGTATCAGCTGACATGCCTAAAGATGGAAATATGCATCTCCCCCTATTTGCCACATTTGATCTGGCTTTGGGGCAGTCCGTGGGAGGCCTGGAGTCCTCTGTATCTAGAGCACGGGAAAAGCAGCAGCAAATATCTCAGCTTTTGGCCATCCGTTCTGGTTTGGTGGCTGTTGTTTGTTTAGCAGTGGCCTTTTTTGTGTTGCAATGCACACGGAAGGTTGTGTTTCCGAGGTTGTTTGGCTCTCTGGGTAGAAGGGCTCTCTCCGATTCAGAATNCACGGAAGGTTGTGTTTCCGAGGTTGTTTGGCTCTCTGGGTAGAAGGGCTCTCTCCGATTCAGAATTGGAAGACAAGTGGCTGGACGAATGCTCTGATGAGGAGGAGGAAGGGTGGGAGGATGAAGGCGATGAAGGGGGAGGATCGGATGAAATCCCAGCGGCTGAGACGGGAGAACCTGTGGCTTTGCAGACACTAGAAGAGTTGAGAGGCCTCATGACTCTTGGCGTGGAAACGACATCGTGTTTACGCGTTGAATATAGGGGTTTTATGCTTCTGTTGCTGTTGACAATCAGCACGCAGGAGCTGGCTTTGTATGGGATCCATTCAACTCCCGAAGTAGAGGTGGAGCGGCAGAGGACATTGGATTTCATTGTGGAGAAGGGACGAAGGGCTCTGGCAGAACTAGATGTTTGTGACCAGAGCTCGAATGCTGCAAGCAAAGCGGAAGGGATGTTAAAAATCTTGGAGGAATTTAGGACTCCCCGACCAGGGTCAAACGCTGGGGAGCTGGCTGTGCAAGCAAAACTCTCCGAGTATAGAATTTCACAGTGTAGAGACTCACTGCAACAGCTGCAACATTGGGTGCAAAACTCCCTTCCGATCCCTGAAGCTGTAAGCAAGCGAGCCCTCAGAATTGTTATTAGTACGAGAATAGCAGGAAAATCAAAAATCATGGGACACATGAATACGAAGTCCTGGGTGGAGGAGCTGCAACGGCAGCATAATTTCTTTGAGATTATCGAACCACGCCCCCAAGGTACACGGTTAACTCCCCGTACATCATTCAGAAAGGAAATTCGAAGAGTGGAGAAGAGTTATACAAGACTTGCAAGATTACTAGCTGAAGACGTCAGAGCCGCTCTGAACCAGCAGCCAGCGGAACTGCGCCTGAAGGGGCAGCATCAGCAAGGGGAGCATCGACAGCAGCAGGACCGGCAATCGCTCCAGCCGCAACATCATCAATTGACCCAACAGACTGCCGTGAACATTGCTGGAACTGGCTCCGTCCTCCGACCTGCTGAGGAACCGGCCAATCTAGGAAATTTTGTAGGCGTAATGTCTTCGCATGCTTCCCGGTACCCTCCTCATGCTCGCCACCGACCCATGCGGACACGAATGCCCTCTTGGCTACGCCCTCCCATGCGTCAATCCACTCAGCCTCCCCGGCACGACCCGCGACAGCATAGTCCCCCCACCCATCCAGAGCGTTGGTATCTGCCCCATTGGTATGACCGTCCAAGTTGGCGGATGCCACAGCAAGCGACGAGCGTCCACCATCAAATCTCGGTCAATTATTACACAGTAGCACCTGCTCTTCGAGAAAGCGCACCCGTGCTCAGACCTAGTGGAACAATGCAGACGGACGCACAACAGCACGTATCCGCTACCTCTTCTGGAGCCAGGTTTGCTTCGCGGATGATTTCACAGTCCCGTGGGCATCGGTCCTCCTCTCGACCCGCTGATCCTTCTACGGCTGTGCAGAGCTATTTCGACATTCCACGTCCGCCGACACTGCCCACTCAGCACCAGAGTGGTTATCCCCAAATGATGCCCCCAGAGAGCCCGACTACACCACGCAGCCGTGCGTCTCCCCGCCATCCCCATAGAGCCCCGCTGCCACTGCCCAGACATTCTTTTACCATCCGGCGCCCTTTTCCCCCTACTGGAGGGGCGAGGGCTCCGACCCCCAGGCCTCCCGCTCAGCGCCCCACTTCCCATATTCCAGGGCGCGCTCTTCCACCTCCGCAACAAATATCTGGAGGTTGGCAACAGATACGTGTGTTGCAGTCTGACGCTCCTGCAACGTCTCGGCAACCTCTGGATAGGCGCTCCCAAGGAGCCACTTCTAAGGACTTTTCCCTCTCTGAGGAAGACCTTAATCCTGTCTTGCGCCTGATTCAAGATGCATTTCCATCTGGAGAAACCGGTTGGCGTGGGGCGGCTGAACCGAGAGAGCAAGGTGGGGAGGGGTGGTTACGCGTTCCTCCTCCGCACCCACCTCCTTCCTCTGGTGACGGTTCAGCCGTCGATGACAACGGCAGAGCAATGCCCACAGAGAACCAAGGATCGTCGGCATCCTCAGGGGTGTCACCGCAGACGCAAGGGGGTGCAGCATGGAGTCCT